GTTTACAATGTGAATTCTTAATTCTTCTTTATTTTAAGGCACTGTTAGAAACACTTTAGAAATACTAAGTTCAAGGAAAATATATGTTAAACATGGAATTCTGGTCCTTATTCCCAGAGTGCATACAACAGACATCCATAGTGATAACAAGAATTTTCATTTCTATCATGTCCAGTAGAGTCTGGTACTCACCAAGAGACCATTTGTTTCATTTTATTTTTACCCTATCTTCTCTACAGATTCACCAACAACATAAAATTCAAAAACCAAACATCTGTCTCAGAATTCCTTCTCCTGGGACTGACAGATGATCCAGAACTGCAGCCCCTCATCTTCAACTTATTCCTGATTATCTACCTGGTCACCATTCTGGGAAACCTGCTCATCATCCTGGCCATCAGCTCTGACTCCCACCTCCACACCCCCATGTACTTCTTTCTCTCCAACCTGTCCTTCACTGACATCTGTATAAGCACAACCACCATCCCAAAGATGTTGGTGAACATTCATACACAGGATCAGAGAATAAGTTACACAGGCTGCTTCTCTCAACTTTGTTTTGCTTTAATTTTTGGCTGTTTAGAAAATTGTCTTCTTGTAGTCATGGCCTATGACCGCTATGCAGCCATTTGTCATCCCCTGAGGTATACAGTCATCATGCACCCCTACCTCTGTTTCCTGCTGGTTGTACTCTCCCTGCTCATGGGCATTGTGCATGGTCTACTCCACAGTCTGGTGGCACTCCCACTGTCCTTCTGTACAAACATGGAAATTCCACACTTCTTCTGTGAACTTGCTCAGATCATCAAGCTGGCCTGTTCTGACACCTTTATCAATGCCATGCTGATATATTCAGCAGGAAACATAGTTTTTGGTGTTCCTCTCATTGGAATTATTTTCTCTTATGTTAAAATTGTCTCCTGTGTTTTGAGAATGCCATCAGTGGGGGGAAGGTATAAAGCTTTTTCCACATGTGGGTCTCAGCTCTTTGTTGTTTCCTTTTTCTATGGGACAGGTTTTGGTGTGTATTTGAGTTCTACATTTAGTAAGTCTTCCAATAAGAATGCAGTGGCTTCTGTGATGTATATTGTGATCCCTCAAGTTATGAACCCTTTTATCTACAGTTTGAGGAACAAGGAAATGAAGACAGCTCTGAAGAGTCTCATTACTTGGAAGCCTTTTGTATGCTGGGGTCATGGGCTTTGAGTTAGCATTTCTAAAAAAACACAAAATGAGAAAAATACAGGGTGGACAGAAGCCTAGCTCTGTGTCATTAAGATCTTCCAAAGTGCCCACATAATATGATGTCTAAGGATATTTCAACTTGTACTTTGTGCTTCCTTTTGATTATACAATTCTGTGATGTTTGACAAATGATCTCAACCTGCAAACTCTGTTGTGTTGTTCTGATTCATTTAAAGAATGCCATGAATTGAGTCCTCAGCTTTTAAAATTCTTTGTGCAACTGTTTAGCAGAGGTAATTTTGGAGTAGTTCAGCTAATGAAAGCCTGATTGATATCTGGAGACAAACTTCTGCATGGTCCCATAGATAGAGCCATGATTGGTTTTTTTCCCACATGATGCTAACGAACTGGACTGTTATATTCAATTAATTACTGATACTTTCTTCATGCAACTGCATATTTCTGGATTCATATTAGCATCTTCCCTACTCAATGTCATTATTTTTCCAATTCATATAATAAGATTACTTATCAACAGTTTGTGGTGCTTTTGTGATATTTTGGACCTCATTAGAGAAAATACTTTACTTCTCATATGCAAAAGAAATCTTTACACAAATGTGCTGGAACTATCAAAGGAATTATTGTTCATTATTATGATTACACAAATACCATGACTACCTAGTGTCCAAGATTAGGTCTTCATGGAGAACTACATGATGTGGCTTCATTCTAGGATTGGTCTCACAGTCATCGGGTTCTATAGATT